ATGATGAGCACCGCATAGGAGAGCTCAGCGAATACTTTCGACGGGTCCTGTGGAAGCCACGTATTTTATGAATACGTATGTCAGGATACACCGTATCCTCTCCAATGATCTAGAACCCCAGAGGTCGACTCCGAAGCTCTCCAGAATACTGCCCTCACTGACAAGCGAAATCTTTCGAGTTTCTTAATGAAATAGAGGAAAGTAGAACCTCAACACGGTAGCAGTACGGCTCCGCTTGCTGAAGACGGCGATATTCTGCAAGGCTTCGAGTTCGACATCTGTGATGCTGATTGATTAGAGCAAACACGGTGTGAATATTTCTGTCAGGTAAGCATTAGGTTCCCCTGGCCTTCCGCGCAGTGAATGAAATATCGTAGCTCACCTGCTGCTTGTTGCAGAGAGATTCTCTCGTCTCAGCCCGGAAAGTTTCATCAACGCAGAATGTGCTCTTGCGCAAGAAATTCAGATTGCACACAGTGACAGCCGGAATCTTCGTCTTGCGGAGCTCGTCCAATCCAATGGAGCTGGTCGTTGAAAACCTGAGCATAGATACAGGGTCTGATTCGTTTGACGGACACGTGGTAGACCATTGAAGAAATTAGAGGAATTCCGCCGCCAGTGCCAACGCCTCACCGAGCGTATTTAACGAGAACGTTGTACACAAAGCAGCACATGCATCCGACGAGGAAAAGATACGTAGCGAGCCAGATCGTGAATCTAAATAGATTCTCTTGAGCCTCCATGACGCGGTCGAGTCCTGGAAAAGGCACATTCTTCGCATGTATTCGAGGGCGTGGACTGCCATATGAAAAACATTTTTTCTTACGAGATCGCCGGCTCCTGGGAAGAAGACCATTGTGATTCTCTTTTTTGAACGATACAGGACAGTTTTACCTGTTGTTCCATCGGCGAGGAGTTGACGCAGTCGCGTCCCGGCGTCCGCATCGCGTTTGCGAGCTCCCGAGTCTGCTGATGTCTTGTACAGCGTCGGCGTGTTGCCCCGTCGACAGGACCCATGCCGGCTGTACTTCTTGCGGAATTCAGAGTTCCACATTCGATCGAGTTCTCCTTCGCAGCTTCCGATCGGAATGATAATTTGCGATTCCGGACAGTGCACGTTGGTTGATAGGCAGCGGAGCTTCAGCGACTGCGTAGTGTTCTAAGGCGTCTTGGGGACACGATGCAGCCGTCAGAGTCAGGGGTCAAGCGAGCGTTGTATCGACGCGATGGATCACGAATTACTTCCGTTTCGCCAAAAAAATTCTTTGGAGTATTTCTGTTTTCGAGAAAATCGCCTGACACAACGCTTCCTGAGCCCCGCCTGGAGTGAAAAGGAATCGGATAACGTTATAGCGTGCTATCTGAGCGAGGCACGACACATTTTCAGAATAAAGAATCCCGATTCGGAGAAGGTTGTGATCTGGTCGATGGATATTCGCCAATCCTTCACGATTTATACTAGGACAAGTTCCTTCTCTCGCTCGCGATCTTACCTCCGGGATTTTATTAGATCAGCAGACGATATCCTTAGTGATCTACCCATGAGCATAGATTCTCGGCCGCAGTCCTCGGCTGCGCTCCGCACGTGGGTTGAGTCTCGGAGGATCGCGGACTATAGCGGGACATGAAAACCCGCGTGGTACAGCGACGCGATGATGAAGTTTTCCAAAATTTCGTAAATGCTCATGAATGCCATGCCGACGAAACATCCGATGAATCCGCCCACCTCCGTCACCATCACTATGAGCTGGAGAAGCGGAGATGAGAACACTCGTGAAAGTGTGACGAATACTTGGGATGCAAGTTCGACTCTGCCGATCATCCGACCAGGCGCTTGGAGCCGTATTCTCACATCGAAAACCGGAGTTATGTTGATTTCGCTCTCTCCCATCGATTTGAAGAAAATGAAAACCTCTGCATATCTGAATAGAAAGATAGATTTAAGACTCTTCGTTCATGAGTTCGAAATGAGGAGAGGCTTTGCAATAATCGCGGGTATCCACGACGATTATTCCAAAGTTTTATCTAGGAGGCTTCATCCACCGGTCATTTACGGTTTCTTCCTGATATGGGAACTTCATGGGGGAGCGCTTGGAGCCGCATGACACCGTGATAAACAAGCTCGGTCTTTCCATGATATTTGCGGTCGTTTGCAACAGCTAACGGGAGGATCCATGAGCTGGGCAAGATTTATTCAGCTCTAGACTTGACTACCTATTCAGCCTGAGTGCCACTACCCTCTGTGGTCAGCCCGCTGTCCGCGAATGCTCGATCTCTCCTGGAAGCATAGTATGAATCAGGAGACTGCTGCTTGTCCTCGCTCCCACGAATCTCCCCGATGCTAGGTCATGATGAGCGCAATGAGTTGATAATTCTCACCGTGGTCCCGGCGAAAGCGGCGTGGGACACTTCCGTCAGATAACTCTCTTCGCTTTGAAAGAAACGGCATTCGAGTCTCATATACCAACATGCGATCAATGAAAGATCTTCAGAAAGTCTATTCTCACCTGCAGCGATTCGGGCAGCGGCATCGCAGTCCCTTCTTGTTCCTTCTCGCGGTCGCGCGGGGCGCGGTCGTGAATTCTTCTTTGCACGTCAGATTTGTGAGAGGATTCCTCGCTAATCGATGAAGAAAAGTCACTAGGCGTGACGAACAGCCTTCGACATCATGAACCTCCTCTTAAGCTCCTCCCTCCAAGTTTAGGTGTCACATAATGCCGCAGCAATTACCTCTTGCCTCGTTGCATAGCAATGCGTAATCGAAGCTCAGGCCCTCGATCTCGCAGTCGCAGATCTCCACCAAATTGTAAGCTCGGCAGATGTACTCGCATTTCTTGAAAGAAGCCGAATACCAGACTCGGAATCGATGTCAGCTCGGATGCTCGGCAATTCCCAAAGGAGAACGACTCACCGATTTACTGTACGTTCTGTTGAGAACTTGAGCGGCCAAGCTCGCATGTAAACCCATCACTTCCATCGGCCAGGAGTCTAGAGGATGGCAGTTCGTGTCGTAAGGGGCTTCCATGAGGGAAACTTTTTTCTGCCGGATGTAAAGTTCGGTCTCAGCGCCATTCCATCGCTCGCCATGAGATTCTGGTGCCAGTGTCGGAATTAGAACTTATGATCGCCCTACCTTCTCCAGCCCGATGAAAGTCGCTCGATTTGTGGGGATCATTATCCCAAGCTCTAGGACGTCAGCTTCCTCCTTACTTCCATGAACCATGAGCGCGAAACCCTTTCCGATCAAGAATGGTACATATTCGGCGGGACGAGCATCGAGAACGAGATGCAAACCATCCTCGTGTTCGTCGAAGTTATTGATAGTCTCGAAGTCTGCAAGCCCTCTAGAGTTCCTCCTTCGGGTACTCTCCGGGAAAAGCGTGAAGCATTCCCCGTACTCCGGATTCGTTGTCAATCCTCTACCAATGTGACTCTCGCTGAATCGAAGCAAGGGATATTATTCCTCGTCGAGCGTATCGAACGAATATCGCCCGCCACGACTGACAAGGTTATCCAGCGATTATACACTTATCTGAGATATGCGCTTCGATGCTCGGTAAGAAATTAGGTGAAGCGAGCGTACCTTCGGCAATCCCGCCGGTCGATGTGGCATCTCAAAATAGTGTTTTCCCAGCTCATGGCATGTTTCGAGACCACATTCAAGATATCCGTCCTGTCGGGCTTCTCGAGGCCTTTCAGGCCATCGGCCAGCAGCGAGAGCGATTGTTGCCGATCCTGCGAAAACTCGATGCTGCGGGGAAATCGAGCGGGACGAATTTCAGTGTCACCGATACACTCAAATGTCTACATATCCGGGCACTAACTATGGTTCGATCGGTGCATATCCGTCGACGCGCTTCCTCTTCCACATCATCATCGTGACAGAACGTTGATCGGTTCAGATAATTCAGGTTGCATATAGTTACCGCGGGCATTTCTACCATTTCGGCATCATGCACTCCTATGGCGCTCCCCGTGGGATATCTGGAAGGGAACAGGATGAAGAGCTCTTGCCTATCCAGCGTCAGCATCGCGGGCATAGTCTCGTTCCAATCGATTCGCAGCTAACTCGCGCTGTGCTCACTGGAAGAATCGCTTGAAATCGTTGTATAGGAAGAACAGCATCGAACCGCATAGCGCAAGATAAGTCGTGAGCCAGATAGAGAAACGTATTTTGTTGCTGTAGGCATCGATCAGACGATCGAGTCCTGGAAATATATGCAGAGTCACACACGCGTCCTGGATCTCTTGGATCGTTCGCCTCTATATTACCGATTGCGCTTTCATAGTCATCCTGTTATGTATTAAGCGATTCCGCTACGAGCTCACCTGTGTTCCCTTGCATGAATAGATGCAATACTGTTTTCTTGGTGCTTGGAGAAGAGTTTTCCTTCGACATCGATACCAGAGTTCTGAGGACGGCCCGGAATCGTTTCGAATCTTTTTTCTGTTTCGAAGTGAATTCGGATCCCGAGACCTGGATGGGTTCCGGCGAGATCATCCTCCTCTGAGGAATATGATCTACCAGGAGTCTAGGATGATGGCGAGCACAGACTTCCGTCTTCAGGTCGAACTTCTCCCCACAAGAGAGCTTGCTTGGCTGCTTCATCGTGAGGCCTCGAAGGGATTCCTCCGGAACTCCCATGGCGAGCTCGGGAGTCTGATATGTAGCAGCCCTAGAATGCCGGTCGCGATGGAGTCCAAGCGGGTTTTCGCCAAGACTACTCGCCCTTATCGACGAGAGTTTTGATGAACGATAATCTATGGCCGGGGACCTCGTGAATATGCTCAATCTTCAACCGGATTCCGTGGCCGAAGCTGCGTGACACCAAGGTAGAGATCTTATTCGACGCGCCGCTTTGTCGATGGGCTGCGGCGACGTCCTCCGCTCGCATGGAAGCGGCAACACGAAAAATTTTCACGAGACGGCGTTCCTTAGGTCGGAGACGATCTCCATGAATCCCCAGAGTCAAAGGATAGGTCAACAATTGTTGCAAATCGAGTTATAATTTATTTTAAAACTTCTCACCCCTCAAAATATCTCCGATGTTACAAGCCGTGGTTTTTGATCAAGATAGGATGAGTCTGTACGATTCCCAGCTCGACGAATCGCTTCGGCGGAGCTCAGAGCCGATTGCATCGACAACCGATCTGACAGCTATACGGACTCGTCGCTCGTAAGAAAGGGTTGTAGAGAGCATCTCCGAATCCTGACGGAATTATCGCCGGCAGCCGGCTAGAATAGCCGAGGCTATTGGGACTGCTTCTGAGGCAATTGCCATGGATTTCATCCGCTATACCGCTGTCTTTCGTAATCGATAGCCCTTCGAAGCTCTTCGATCGGATTCTGTTTCGACTCTCGCAATATTCCTGCGGTGTGGACGACCTCGCTAGCTTCTCGAATGGTTTGTGTCGCGGATCTTCATTCTCTCGGCGACAGTTCTCGGTTATAATCTGTTTCATAGAGTCCGTGAGGAACGGATAACCGCGCGCCATGAGCGACGCACAAGCCTCAACCTGCGGTACTCGTTGCTCTGACTGCGAAGCGAGTATTTCTTCCCATCTCAACATAACCAAAATTTCATCATTCCTTTGGAAGTAGTCCGCACCACCGAGGTCAAACGTGGACGACTCTTTGATTTCCGCTGCGATTTGAAGATCTGGGATGAAAACTTGTAGGCTCCCGCTCAGGATGCACCTTGCTCGATAACGCCCGACGACGGCTGGAGAAATCTGTGAAAGAGGGTCCAGCGATGCTTCAGCGACATCCGTTTCGGGAGAAAGGTCCTATCCCCCCATGAAGTGAATGGCAAGAACCTCAGAATCGTAGAACAGGGAAAGAATTCACACAACACTCACATCGACAACGTCGATTCCACCTCGACTCTGGGCGACTGAAAAAATACCTTCGACCCTCAGTGATATCTTCGTTCTTTTTTGGGTATGTGATCTCGGGGACAGCTTCTCTTTCCCTATAGGAATTACCTGGAGTCCCGCGACGAGGTACGGCTTCTCAGAATTCGGCATGCTGAGACTCTCGAAGTAAAAGGGAAGCTCCACTTCCTCGTCATATTCTAGAGAATTTAAGCTCGGTATGATAACTCCCATGCTAGACTTGAAGTCGACTTGTTTGATTGCGCCACGGAGCCTCATCGTGCCGGACGCCTGTGCTGAGACGGTATTCGATCCTGATCGATTCTCGCGCTCTTATCCTTGACACTGAAGTCTTCTCCGAATTCTTGCTTTGCTCCGCTGCCTAATACACTCTGCGACTCGAATAGGGCAGGCCGGTGATCACTTTCGACGTTGGCGGCCGAGAGGTAATCCGAGGCAGCGTCGTTCTCTCAACGTATCGGACGCTCTGTTTTCATTATGATGCACGAACATCCCATAGGACATGAGTCTCCTCCGAACGTGCATCTCTATTCATTCCTATCTGAGAAGAACGAATTTCTGGGAATGATTCGCTTTTCCTATTCGGAACCCAAGTATTGTCGTACAGTATTCGCTGACTGACAGATCCGACGTACTCCGACCGAAGGTCGTGGCTCTTTCCGATCACGCATTATCTTCGCGATCGATCCGGCGGTCACACCTCAGTTTCCGTTCCTGATCGAATTCTGTGAATTCTCAAATGCGAAGGGCGAAGGCAACCGATTGAGACCTAGGTCTCAATATACAGAGAGAGCCTGCCCCCCTGCACGAATATGTACGGCCGAGAGGGACTTTGCTGCTTTCAGCCGGGAAGTGAAACACGTTTTGGGATATCACAATCTGATTTATTGGATCACCATTCCAAGGTGGTCTCCCGTAACACGGAACTTTTTCTCGAAGGAACCTCAGTTGTGCTGTGAGACACCACCGGCTTCGTAGGGGATCGATCACTGTCCTCCGACAGTTTGAGCTGCTCCATTTTTTTGATGACTTTGCTAGTTTTCCCGACGCCCAATCGGGGCACCCCTTTGTTCAAACCCTCCAGCATCACGCAAGCTTTGCACACTTCCTGCGACGATATATAGCCACAACGCGAGCAGGTTCCCTTGGAGGGCAATTTCGTTCCCTCGCGCAAACTCATACATTCTCCAGAATATATTATGTTGAGTATCGACAGAGGATCTTGGAGCTCCAAATTTTTTATGTAAGCTCGTGCATGACCCCTGTACGCATTGGGAGAATAAATGCATTCGGTCGAAAAATAATCGAGTTTCTTGAAGTGAGCGTACATTACGATCTCCTTCTCGTACGTATATTTGAATGGTTTGGATCGAGGAATCAGTCCTTCGGATCCGGTGACGATTGAAGTGCACCTGGAAGAGATCGATTCATGAAAGGGGACGCTCAACTCTGACCAGTGGAATCAGGTCCATCTTTCACGACGGGCACCACATCGGATGATTCTCAGATCTGTGTTTCCGAGCATGCCATCCGCACCTTTGCAGGCGAGCGATGTCGCCTCTCAGGACGTTCATTATCACAGTCTCGGCGATGTCGTCCGCATTGTGGCCGGTCACTATTTTATCGACTCCCAGTTGCATCGCACCCCGATCCAGAGCCTGCAGGAGAGGGTCGTTAGCCCGGTGACTATCGCCGGAAATGTCGTCGAGCAGCTCTCGCGCAGCATACCTGTCGTCGGAAGACTCCGCAGAAAGTACAATTGCTCTTCTTGCCTACTGCTGCAACTATTTTGTCCATCGTCCAGCCGTATAGGTCGTTGTACGATAGAATTTTCAAGGGTATGCCGTACTGGAGTTCATTGCGTTTTACGGTTTCGAGCGAATCATCCCTTAAATGTAACATGGTTCGCTTTGAGCGCTGCAAGCAGGGATGCGCGAAGAAATTTACCGAGTGTCACCTCAAAATCAGAGGCTCCTGTGCTTATTCGATCGAATCGTCCCATGAGAAACGCGGTTGCAGCGATGAGAGCTCACCTGTAACCGGTGATTCCCTCGTCGATTGACAAGAGAACCAATTTGAGACCGTAGTCGTAGCGATCGTTCAAAACTTTCATGAGGTGAGCCAGAACCGTGGAATCTTTCCCGCCAGATGCAGCGATGGCCACATAATCACCGCGAGAGAACAACTGGAATGGGACAATCGTGGATTTAGTACGGGCTGGAAGGACCATCGTTGCGTCGCATTCTCGCAACCGACAGCGAGATGTTCGAGAATCCGAGCGGAAGACGTCTCCGGGTTCGGATATGGCTTAGCACCACATTGGCGAGACTATACTGGCTTACATTGAAAGTTGTGATCGTCCAGTGTATTTCCTGTTCGAATGCGTCGAAGAAACACTCTCTGCAGAGCGCATCCCCTGTTTTGGGTCTTTTCAGACATGCAATATTCTTCGAGCACTTTGTGCAAGACTTCATTTTCGAAAGTATGCTACTGTTGGTCTAGTTCATCAACAAGAAATCTCCCTGGATTAATGCTCTAGCAACAGGTGACTATCTCTGATTTCGAGCACAAGGGACTTTATCGATGGAGAGGTGCGATTGGCTCACACTCAGTTAGATAGGCTTGAGCTCTCTCTGAATACACAGGCCAGAGAAGAGGCATTCCTATAGAACGGACCGTTGATGAACAATGAACCGTCTCCGGGGAGGACACAGTGCGCATAGGAACGCACGAACGAACTCATATATGAAGTGCTCGATGATAGACGCAAAATTCGGCTCTTAGGCTTTGAAAGGCGTACTTCCGATCGCTTGAGTGTATACTCGATGTAGCGTTCGGTTTCAATATTATATCAGGTCTCCGGAAGAAAAGGACTACACGGACGCGCGTTAATTTCGCGGAGGAACAGGAATCATGTGTCGACGGGGAAGAGTGTTGTAAGCAATGATGTCGATGATCTGAGCTGAAAGTAGGACCAGGATCGGGCGGTCCCTCCTTACATGTTGAATGACATGTATCTAGCCGCGTCGGTCAACTCAGGATCCTGCAGCAGCTCACAACGACGAAGATTCGGCCGGACTCTCTATGAGCATAGAGGATTCGAGGGTGCGGCTGTGAAAACCAGAGGAGAAAAATCAGTATTTTGCTCGTTCCTAATTCCGGCTCGAGTGGCGGTCAGCACGGTTGTACCCTGTTTGAAGCGAACATGAGACTCCAGCCCTCTTTGCCGCTCATATTCTTGTCGCGGTACGCAGTAGGGAGACTTATTACCCTTGACAACTCCTCTTGGGAGGAACCCCTGTTCATTGAGGCGAGCATCCTTCATGAGGAAGCAGATGCACGATGCACCCAGGCGATGATGGAGTCATCGAGATGTTGCGCCGATGCGGACCATCGTCATTTCGTCGGCAGCGCGATGAACTCCCGGACGAAAATCTCTGTCAACGAAGGCTCCAATACATTTACCTCCTCGGTTCAAGGCTGAAACGGCGAGCCCAAATAGGTTCGGAGCAGAGATCGGAGTTCGAGAACACTGCGACAAGCAGCGGATAATCCCCTTCCTAGAATCTGCAATGCGAGTAGCCACCGCTGGCATCAAGGATCCTTACGCTGTGTCGCTCCATCAGAGTGGGTCACAGGATACGAATCACCGCTTTCCTCCAGTTATTCAGCCCGGAACCGATACCAGTCTGGCGCGGTCTCAGCGGTGCTGAGAGCACTCTATCCCCACCCCATAGGTCCGCGAAATCAGGGTCGGAACTTATTCTCGATAGGAAGAGGGCCGAATCTCGAGCAGCTATCTCCGAAAAACGACTTATTTCGCGGAGTGTGTCTCGTCTCGACGCTCGACGTCTGAACTCGACGGCTTTTGCAGCCAGTTGCAATTTCCAATCTTCAAGAGCACATGGTTGCGAAGCTGTTTGTAAATAGGCGATCCAGAGTGGAGAGAGGGGAGAAGGGGAAGACAATCGATACTCTGCGCTCCTCTGCACACGAACCCGTGATCAGACGTGAAAGAAGAATCGCGATCCCCATTCCTTACGGCTGGGTGAAACGATTGTAGCTCAGATGCTGGGAGATTCGTATGGAAGGCGTACGCCGCACGGGGATTCGATATCCGACCTTGTCGATCCATTCGAGCGGCTGGGAGGCCAGAGTACCCGCCCTTGCGCGGTCCCGTAGAGCCGCTCTTCCCTGGACTCGCTCTCGAGCATGAGGCGAATGCGCATTCTCCCCGCTTCTAGGAGTGGGATTCGTACGGTCCGGAGCCTGAGAGGCTGTAGAGGAGCGCGATCTGCTGTGCCGCGGTCCATGAGTTCCTATAGAATGCGTTCATCCGCCGGTGCAGCCGCGGTGCGATTTGCCGGAGAAACAATTTCGACATCGGGATTCCCTCCTAGGAGCACTTCAGCCTACACGAAAATACTCATCCGATATCAGAAAATGCGGAGAATAGCCCACAAACAGCTTTTCGATTGCGTATAGAAATTCGAAACCACCCGCCATCCACATCCGGTCCAGATTCGAAACCGGATGCCGTTTTGTTGTCGAAGTTCTTTTCCCCCGAAGGCTCAAACCATGCCGGGACAAATCAGCAAGAAGCGCAGGGTAAATGCGAATTTTCGCTATTTTCCGTGGAAATTGAAGAGTGAAATACGTTCGGTCCGGAAGACGAAGCCCTGAGCTGCGCTCCGACGTGGGTTTTGTGCTTGGCGGTCGAGCTTGGAGGTCTGATTAATGTGGATTTTCGGGACGTTCTTCGAGTGTTGCCACGCCAGTGATTTCACATCATCACCGGAAAGCATTAGTTAATCGCTTCTGGAGGGTCGCGTAAGATTGCAGATCTCGAATTCGTCATACGTCGATGTGCTCTTCTCAATGGAGCCCAACAGCGCTCCGGGTCCCCGGGAAGTTTCACCGGCATACGCTGCTCTGCGGTCTGCTAGGTCATCGACGGGGTTTCCGCCGTGAGGTTCCAAACTCCAAGAAGGACGGCTGGACGTCATTAGCAACTTCGAGTATTCCGGGGGAACCCGGGCTGTGGCGGAAAGGCCGAGTTCGTGTTAAACAGTTGTCGAACTATTCGATTTTTTTCAGTTCGTAGCCGACGGCGTTTTCAATGCCGAGTTGAACGAGTTCCTCCGTCGGGAACTCGCCGAAAACGGATACTCCGGAGTCGAGGTCCGCAATGGCGCCACCAAGACTGATATCATCATCATGGCCACCAGGACTCAGGACGTCCTGGGCGAGAAGGGACGCAAGATCCGTGAGCTCACGGCTGTCGTTCAGAAGAGGTTCGGCTTCAAGGTGGGTCCCGTCGTCAACGATCTCCCAACTCTCGACAAGACGCATTTAGTTTCTCGTGCATTCGATTCGAGTCGGCCTCGATAACTGGAATGCATACCGTCTAACTCGTCTGCGTCCGTGATTTCCAGGAAGGTACCGTGAATCTCTTCGCCGAGAAAGTGTCCGCTCGCGGCCTGTGCGCCATCACCCAATGCGAGTCCCTTCGTTACAAGTTGATCGGTGGTCTTGCCGTTCGTCGCGCTTGTTACTCAGTTCTCCGTTGCATCATGGAGGCTGAGGCTATGGGCTGCGAAGTCGTCGTTTCTGGAAAACTTCGTGGACAGAGAGCCAAGAGCATGAAGTTCGTCGAAGGACTCATGATTCACTCTGGTGACCCCACAAACCACTACGTTGAGACGGCCGTGCGTCACGTTCTGCTCAAGCAGGGCGTGCTCGGAATCAAGGTGAAGATCATGCACCCGCACGACCCTCTGGGCAAACGCGGACCCGCTCAGCTTCTGCCCGACAAGGTTCATGTCGTCGATTCACCACACGAAGACGACAATGTGGAAATATCGTCAGACAACAAGCAGGACACTTCGAAGCCTACTGCTGAAATTAAATATTGATTGACATGAATGAATAATTGATGTCTTTCGAGTAATATCCGTGTTTTCCCTCCTTACACCCATACGTTGTTGATTCCTACCCCTTCGGCACCGCTTTCGGAATAGATTGATACAATGACAGTACTCCTCGTCTAGCTGTCGAAGAGCAAAAAACTTGTCAACCTGGAACCTGGAAAACCGACGAGACGTACAGCCTCGAGGATGCCGAAGCTGATGGACCGTGGAAGACCTCGGAGATCGCGGATTAGCGAAACGCTGGTGCCTCTCGGCGGAATGATGCTTGGGCGATCTGCGCTTCTTGCTCACAGGCATCCGGACTCGAGCTCAAGTTGCGAGAAACATTTAGGTTTGAGAGTCGTAGCCTTTCCAGCTGTACTCCCGGCTCCGCGGATGCTCTCGTGAGAGAGGATTCGCTCTGAAGATATGTTGGGAGCATCATTGACAATCGGCCAGCCAGTATGAGGATCCCAAGTCGAGCGCTGTCCGAGCTATAATCGTTAGGAGCTAATGACACTCTCTCCCATGGAGCCTCGTGAGCGGTTCTTTGAATATACCCAAGATTCCCTCCGACGTGGAGAGCTCCGGCCGCTTCGCGTCTATCACTGCGGATTCGAGGGGAAACCCGACCAAATCATCGTTCAGAAGTCGCCACAGGTCCTGGGAATGGAAATTCGAGAGGAAATTTTCAGTGTTGGTCAATGGTCTTAGGATGAGGGTTCTAGGGACTCTATGAAATCGGGAAGAAATGATTGAAATTTCCTTCATCGTAAGCTTATCGATAGAGATGGGAGGTTCATATTTAGGTGGCGTGAGAGGCATGGAGGGAGGGAATTTCGGGAGCACCAAGTTCGCGGAATCGGCGAAGAATTCCCTTAGGGAAGATTTGCTTCATCCTCTCGGATCCGCTGATGAAGTCGTCCTGGCTGCTGCATTCGTTTCGCGGGTTGACAGGTCGGATGACGGAGAAATCGCAAAGAACATCGGCGCGGTGGACTTGAAAGAGAATTTCGAGGTCGGATTTGTTCAAAAAGAGGCTGAAACTTCATGGGGCAGGGCCATCAGTGCTAGATAGACATTTCAGCACTAATCTGCGGGGGAGTCTTCTCTGCTCGCTGCTCGCCACTGATGGTACTCGAGGGCTAAGCCTGCGGTCCGCAGGAACTCAAGACTGATGTGATGAGTGATGAGATAAGTCGTGCAGAAGGTTATTGAGAGAAGCCCTATCATCCTGACAACAATGGAGCGTGTTCAGTCACGTGCCGCTACCTCCACTCTAATTGTAAGCTAGACCGAAACATATACATATATATCGGAGGTCCTAGGGCGATCGGGTCTTCTTCGGACTGCAGGGACCTCTCGTCGACGACTCAGTAGATCTCATGGAAACTTTCGCAATCGCGTTAGGTGCTCAGAAGAGTTTGCTCCTTTTCGGTGCTCATTTGTTGCGAGTTCTCCTTGCTCACGGACGGGGATTATTGTCCTCCAGCCGATTCCGAAAATGCCCCGAAAGAATGAGCTCCCCGGAATGCGTAGCGGAATGACACGCCGAGCAGAATGGCGTTGCAGGCGGAACAGAATTACCAGAAAACCTCCTCGTCACAAGCAGAGAGGCGCTTCGAGTGTTTCCATCTCTCAAAACAAGTTGATACACAGTCTCGTTCGCTCAGCGTCTCTCATCGATCTAGTGGCGGCTCTCGCACGATCCCGGGTGGCAGAGTGAAAATGTTGACAGGTAAGGCGGTAATAAAAAGACGAGAATCAAAGTAAGTATACATATACTTCCCGAACGCTCTTGCCCGGGATCGAAGTCAGCGATAAACTGACAGCCGCCAAACGTCTCCAATGCCTTACTTCGACCAGGCAGTCGCTCTTTCCGATACGCCCGAATCTCCGGCATTTCTTTTCCAGTCGTGGGCGCCTTGGTGGTCATCTGCATACTCTTCCTTCTCTACGAATGGTGGCCCTATTGGAAACAGGGAGCTATGCTGAAGAGCATGCCTGGTCTCACCCCGAGTGTGATACCGTGGATGAATTGGATCTATATGCTCACGTCTCTTCGGAAATTCAAGGGAGGCGGAGACATGAGCTCCGGTAGATGGACTTTCGCGTAATTCGAAACGAGAACCTGAATTATTTGACGCCAATCAACAGATTAACTTCCCTCCCGCTAGCGTTCTTCAACTTTCGACACGAGCTCTTCGCGCGATATAGAAAAGAAGGGATATTCAAGACCTGGAGCTCTTATGACGGAGGTCCGACAATATGTGTGTTCCGCGCGGACCTCGTCGAAGATGTCATCAAATCCCCCAGTTTCTCCACAAAATCCATCGAATACGAATTAATCCGCGATTGGCTAGGAAAAGGGATACTGACAAGGTATGTGCAGGTGGTGATAGACATCGGTCACAGTCTTATCGATTTTCCCGCAGAGAGCGGCCTTCGTCGCAGAGGAGCTGTACGATCGGAGTTGTTCTCGGAGGTTTTTAAAATATCTGCGGCTTGTCGGACGAGATGATATTCCTCCTGCGGATTATCGGAGCCGCACAACCCCTTTCAAGTCACTCACCATCCTCTGCCGACGAACGCGATCAGCGTCCACGAAGAGATCCGAGCGGTTATACAGTTGTTGTGTAATTATAGGGGAAATAGTATGGTTATCAGGGTGATGTTATCCGAGCTTGTCCGAGTTCGTCGCTGTTACTAATTACCTATCGAACATTTACTGCTTATTCCCGTTGTCGCGGGACGAGCAGCATGCTCAGTTCTATTCCATCTCCGCAGTCACGGCGCTCAATGGAAAGCACAGAGACGTCTGCTCACGCCCACGTTCCATTTCTCGATTCTTGATGAATACGAGAACTCAATGAATTCCCATTTCTTGAAAATCGTCCAAAACATGAGGGACCATCCGGAGATCCAGAAAAACGTGGAGCTCAGCGAATGGGCCACCGACTGCACAATGGCAGTACTCCTTGAAACAGTAATGGGCTTGGAGGTCGATGATCCAGAATGCGCCGATAGCAGGGAATACGTCCAGGCTGTGAACAGGTCGCACTCCATCAGCTTGAATATGTCACATAGCAATTCCATCGGAGATCGTGCGCGATATGCCCCGGGGAGTCCGACAGGGGGGATGACGTCCTAATGAGCGAGGAGTTTCTTGCAGCGCGGCGCTCCTCTTCAGCCTGAGATTCCTGAAGCCATGGCACAAATGGGATTATTGCTTCTACAACTCGTCCGAGGGAAAGAGTTATCTGGAAGCTGTGGATAGACTGCATGCTTTCAGTCAGAAGGTAGAGTTACTACTTCTCTCTCGGAGAGCTAGGCACGGGTTCGCGGTGCGAGTCAGGGTCAACGAGACTTCCCGGGAGTGTGCGCCGAGTCTTTGATTTCGATGAGAAAACGATTACCCATGCGATCCGAAGAACTCATTCTTCAGATGTCTCTAAGATCGCACGTTCCCTCCGGTATGCCTCCCGAATACATTTGCCCCTGAAATTACTCTGTTGCGCGCAGGTTATCGCGAAGAAGATTCGGGACTTGACAGCTGACCCGTCGCTGATTGGAGTCCGTCCCGGAAAAAAACAATCGTTCATTGACATGCTCGTTTCCTTGCACCTGCAAGGAGAACAGATCTCCGTCCAAGAAATGAAGGAACAAGTAGCAACATTCATGTTCGCCGTAAGTGCCCGGAGTCCAAAACAATTGTCGCACATTTCCTGAGGGAGCTCTCTCGCTCAATTGGTTACCCTCCAACGCAGGGACACGACACGACCGGATGGGCGATAGCTTGGACGTTGTACCAAATCGGCGTCTACCCTGATGTGCAGGCCAAGGTCCATGAAGAGCTTGACATGGTTTTCGGAAGAGACATGACCCGTCACACGACAGCGGACGATCTCAAGAGACTGGAATACTTCGACCGGGTTCTGAAGGAATGCCAACGAATCTACGGCTCCGTTCCTTTCATATCCCGGCAATGTACCGTGGACGGTGGTCCGATCGGCGAGTTTTGACGCAGAATACTCGATATTGGAGCGAGGACTTTCGCTTGCTCTCCTGTTCTAACATCCCGAGTATATCGCTCACCTCGGAGCTAGTCTTGAGACAATCAAAAATTTAGTCCAGCTGATTTCAGGCAAATATGAGATTCCGAGGGGAGCGACCATCACGATAGCGATACATTATATACATCGAGATCCTGAAGTGTTCCCAGAGCCGGAGACATTCGATCCGGACCGATTCCTGCCCGAAAACGTCCGATGTCGACACCCTTACTCGTACATTCCATTCTCGGCCGGGCCGAGGAATTGCCTCGGACAGCGTTTCGCTCTCCAAGAGTTGAAGATCTCACTTGTGAATATCTTGAGGAATTTTAAAATCAAAAGCAACAGACCTTTGAGTGAAATCAATATTGCCGGCGAGCTCATTCTTAGAGCGAAGGATGGCCTCTACGTAGATTTCATTCCGCGTTAGGGAAAAATAAACAGAATTACTGAAGCGGAGGCATGTGTCTTGTAGGGATTCCGCGCTGTGTCTCCCCTGCTCCACCGTTCTCGTGAGCTCCCCATGAGTTCCCTCTCGTGCAGTGCTCCTTATTTTCGACTCCCTAAAACTTTTCCCCGACCCTGAGTCCTCGATTCGTCGGGAGGGATTTGGGTCCTGCTCCGATTGAGCGGAGTCCACGTATCGAGCGGAGCGCGGTTTCGAGGAGTGTAATGCTTTCCGACGATGATCAGCATCTGAGCAATCACTCGTACATGTGGAGTATCGAAATCAGGCGGATTCCAGAGTTCTGATTGCACTCGAAGTCTTTTCCAATAATTCGTTCGAAATGCATATTATCCAGCTGCTGCCAGTGACCGGCTTCAATAAGCTAACTAGAGTCTCCGGGACCGAGATCGGTCAGGGGAAGCAGGAGAAGCTCCCCATGGGAGCAGACCGACGGATCGACGGTAAAACGAGGCACGTGATGAGGAACACGACGGCGAAACTGCTGTTTTTCTCCATTTCCCCTCCAAGGCCAAGATACGGATCGCTTGCTACATCGATAGATCTCCATAACTCTCAGAAGGCCGCCGCCGAGACCGTCGAGCCTCCCTTCGACCGCTCGTATCTCGGGAGCAGCACAATTCACCGACATTCGGAATTCACGCTGTCACATCGATATTTCCGGTAAAATGGGAGAAACAGGTCCGGGGCAGCCCTTCCATGAGCATACAGATGAGCGAATCACGGTTGACGAGCTCATTTAATAATCGCCTTCATTATGAGAGAGAAATTTCGCTACGGGAGTCGCTTGAAGCCGGAGACGGGTAGAAGAAGTCTGGTCTCTCCGCGATCCATTGAGCCTGATTTCAGCGACCGGTGGATCCCTCCACCCTTGAGAGGGGGTTGTCGAACAAAGAATTAATAAATGGACACGATCATGCAGTTCCGCTCAAACGTTTCGACCGGAGACCAACATGCTATCTACGCTTACAATTTTTTGGCCAGGTGTATTGGAATATTAGTTCAAATCCTCGATGAAGGCTCGGAACGCTCAACAAATACCGTATTTCCCGTTACAGAGAGGCATGCCCGTCTGTTTTGGAATTCCGGTGAGGCTGATACGTCCATTGAAGGCTACCCGATTACCCGTCTGCCGGTTCTAAAATATACGTTCCTCCATATTCGAGTCTACAATAGGGTGGCCCTCCAATCACCCCGCTTATCAGAGGGTGCCCGTCAGATTTAGGTGAGCTTGGTATGAGAGCAACCCAAGGATCGAGCTCGTGAGAGTCGCAAATGGTCTCTTTAGAAGTCGCCTGTGACGCTGCGATTCTACAATCGTAAATTGTGGCAGCTTTATCAATCCGGGAGTTCGGGCGGTGACTAGTCAGAATACATGTGATTCCGTGAGAGATACATGAAGTGGTGAGAGATATAGGTATGAACTCGCGAATCGGGAGACTTTGCAGAACATCTTTTCGACTTAATCTTGACGCTGATTCTCACGCTCGTCCGAAAAAGATCGAGATAATTATCATGAACTCACGCTTTTTACATGCCAATTCATTGCGCCGTCTTGACTCAATACGCGTTGGCTGCACGAGTGGAGGATGAGTGAGGTTTCCATGCGCAGACACGGATGCTCATGTCTTTAAACCCTCTCCCCATCTCCCGAAGATCCGATAATCCGATGAACTGCCAAGTCTGAATGAGCGAAGAGAAATGATCCGCCACCCTTGAAGCACGCCCAACTCCCTTATTGGACCACCGACTGCACAATGGCTTTACTCCTCGATGCGGTACTGCGCTGGGAGCTTGACAATGCAGAGAATATCGATGTTTTTGTTGAGTTCGTCTGACATACGTATGTCGATCGATGACGTATATATCATACAGAGCAACACTCAGAAGACCATCATCGACTCGCGGATTCGGAAAGCTGTACGATCCCCCCGAGCCGAAATGTCACGCACCGCGTGAGTCTCCGCGGAAGTATTACTGAGAAGCTGGAATGAAAGGGCAAGGCTATGCCCAGAGACTCGCGACGCCCGGCAACATTCCCGAGCGGTGGGCGAAGTCTACGCATTCTTTCACGAGAAGAAAAAGGTCGAGCAATAAGTCGCCCAGGAACGGTCTGCTCCTTCAGCGGCGTTTTCTCCAGTGACGGGTACTAAAATCAAGCTCTCGGGGGCAGAACTTGCAAAATCGGACGTGCTCCGAGATCTTGCGGCCTCATACCTTGAGAGCGGAAAGAAAATCTTGACAGAGGGGATTTTGAGAATTAACCCGCATTCTCGAGTCTGTTTGTGCGAGAGCATCCCTTGGATTGTTTTGATATTAGAAAATCCTGCTGCACGGGGACGTCAGAAACTCCACGGAGCTGGAGAGATGACGCACACGAAGGTGATTTTACGCTTCTGGGGAGGGGGGAGTAAAGTTGGAATCGAGAGAGATCAGCCACGTAATAAGGCAGCATCTTCGAATAACGATTACGGCGCGCAAGGTGAGAGTTGTTGAATAAGCGAGGCACGGGCCGCAAGCGGCTCTCAAATTCAGTCGTTATCCAGCCCCCGAGTAGATGTGACTCGAGAACTTCAACATGGAGCCACGAAAACCCATCAAATTCGCTCTGACTCCGCCGAGGGCTGACCGCTCCCTGCCCGGGCGACGGAAAATGAAGAGAAGAATAATCGGGAATAGGACACGTGATACAACCGGAGACCTCCAGACCTTGGGGGGACGGGGATGCTCGTAGGGACGCGCGACGGTCATGGCGGCTATTGTTCCACTGAACCGTGCACTGACCCAGAACACAGCTTCAACTCCATGTGAATATCAGTAATCTGATCGGCGTCGACGTCTTTCTTTTCTCACCTGGAACGCGAAACGGGAACGAAAGTTTCAAGCTGAGCCTAATAGAGGGCGCAACTGGGTCGTCATGGGAGTCCGCGAGCTCAGAAGAAAGCGGGAAAACGACGGCGGCTGGACGCGTGTCTCTCCACCGTTGGCGGCAAATTCTCCTCCCCCGTCGGCGACCAGCAATTTGACAAATACTTCCGGCGCATTCTCTCGGAGTCTGACAGGTCGCCAAGATGTTGACAGGTAGGGTGAACTTTTTCCGTCCGATGAGACCACCGAGACGCAATCAGCCTCGTGCTCACTTCATTTAGACCGTACTCCAGCGCGGAGTGGAACGGCGGGAGCAAGGCAATAAGCTGGCCGGCTCTCTCCTTACCGTAGATAGCCCTTGGGTTGCTGAAGCTCTCTGTGGACCGGTGCTCGAGACGTCCGCCTAAGAGCCTGACACCGGCCAGCTAGACTTACTCTGAATGACCCAAGCTTCCGCTCATTACCGACATCCTCAATCTCTAACGGGACGAATGGATAGTGCTTCGAACTTTGAAATGGGGAGAGGAAGCTTGGTCCCTCATCGACCCGTTCGGCGCCATGACAGAAAGCGATTGCAACGCTTGAAGAGGGCTTTTCGAAGACGATAGCCATTGGAGGGGCGACAAGTCGCGCGAGCCCGACTTTAGGCATCAGAGTTGAAACGATCATCGAATCTACACACCCAGCAATTCGATCAGGAAGGATCATCAGCGCGTGATTACCTTGCGCTCAGAGAGCTAGACTGGGGAATCGAGACTCAACCATGGGATTGAGTCCGGAAAGTCCCCGTGAAGAATGAATGAGTCGACTACATCATGCTCTTCTCCATTTCAGTTGTGGTACTGCTGGTGACGGTTTCCTTGTGTCTCGTGGGATGGCAGTCGTATTGGAGAGCGCGGAAAATGCTCATGAACATGCCCGGTCCCACACCCAGCATCCTGCCGTGGTTGAATCCAATCTACTTGCTCGTCTCGTTGTTGAAGTTTAAGAAAGACGGAGACTCAAGCGTGGGTTAGTGCCTAATTTGTCGGTGCTACCCGAATATTTTGCGAGAACATTCACCGTCGATGAGAAAACGCTGTCGTTGCAAAAGTCAAAAGCATATCCACCATATCCACAGCGTTCTTGAAGCTGCGCAGCGACCTTGCCGAAAGACATCGATCTGAAGGGATCTCCAAACTTTGGACTTCACCTGATGGGGGACCGTTAATCTTAGTGTTCCGTGCGGATCTCCTGGAAGAGCTCCTGAGATCACCGAGCTTCGCGAAGAAATCTGTTGGATACAGTCAGCTCCACCATTGGCTCGGCAACGGCCTCCTGTCGAGGTACGTGCAGGATTCGGTATTCGAAAGGCTGCGATAATCCGAGCCTTGATCGACGTTCTTGAGAATGGCTGTTTCCTTATCGCTTCGCCAAGGGTTGATTCCTCCTCATGGTCTGCGACTGAACGAATCGAGATAGCTGTCATGCTTCCTCACTTCCAAACTCATTGCGCTCCGATAATCTCCAAGAATACTTAGGCATATGGTGCACGACAAAGAGATGAGTAAGGAGTCCCCCGCTTAACTTCACAGTCATGGCGCTGAATGGAAGTCTCAGAGACGCATGCTCACTCCTTCATTTCATTTCTCCATCTTGCGAGAATACGATGGTCCAATGAACAGCCATTCTTTGCGACTTGTCGAGGAAATGAAGGCTCATCCAAAACTCCGGAAGAACATCGAGCTCGGTGAATGGGCAACCAACTTTACGATGGCTATCCTACTCGAGACGGTCATGAGTCTGGAGCATGACGACCCAGCGTTCGCTGATCGCAGAGAATATATCGATGCTCTGGGCGAGTGAGTAACGCGTCGATTTCATTAATCAAATACTGTTCAGACTAGTTAGTCACAGAGCATTACGTGTATGATAGCAAACCGTTTCGAAAAACTTCCGGGCATAGGTCGGACAGGCAAGAGACTTGGAGACCGGAAGATAAGCTGGAATCTTTCATAGAACAACGTGCGCATTCGTTCAGAGATCCACGGTACCATGGTACAAGTGGGACTGGCTCTACTTCAACACACCCGACGGGAAGCGATATCTGAGCGCAGTGGACAGGCTCCACTCATTCAGCGAAAAGGTCGTGCGATGTAGCTCAAGCGAGTGATGATCTATCACCTATCGTTCATGCAGTGAGCTGCCAAACTGTCAGCACTTTCGTAGATTCCATTCTCTCTGAATCGGGTTCTCTTCAGGTGATCGAGAAGAAGATCAAAGACTTCACCGCTAATCCGAGTCTGATGGAAAATCGTCCCGGGAAGAAACAATCGTTTATCGACTTGCTCGTTTCTCTCCATCTCAAGGGAGAACAGATATCGGTCAAAGAAATGAAAGAGCAAGTTGCAACATTCATGTTTGCGGTTAGTTGCGCACAGTCTCGTGCTTGAGCGCGAGATCGGACACATCGAAAGCGGAGTCAATTCGACGAGGAAACATTCTACCTTTCAGGGCCACGACACGACCGGATGGGCAACAGCCTGGTCGTTGTACCAATTGGGCATCTTCCGAGATGTGCAAGCCAGAGTTCATGAGGAGCTGGACATGGTTTTCCAAGGAGACACGACCCGCCACGTGACGACGGAAGATCTCCAGAAACTGGAATACTTCGATCGAGTTCTGAAGGAGTGCCAAAGACTCAACGGCTCGGTTCCCTTCGTTTCACGGCAGTGTACTGTCGACGGAGCCAGTCTCGGCAAGTTCGATATTCGGAAGCTTCCCAATCTCACTAAAGAAGGAACATGCTTCCCAGGTTTTCTGCGACTCTTCGAGCAAAAACTTGATTCCATCCAATTCACAGGAAAATACAAGATCCCGAAAGGCGCAACTATGACCATCGCCATTCGTTATCTGCATCGAGATCCGAGAGTTTTCCCTGACCCGGAGAAGTTCGATCCTGACCGCTTCCTGCCGGAAAACGTCCGGGGCAGACACCCTTATGCGTACATTCCGTTTTCGGCAGGAGCGAGGAATTGTATCGGACAACGCTTCGCACTTCAGGAATTGAAGATCTTATTGGTGAATATTCTGAGAACCTTCCAGATCGTGAGCAGCAAACCGTTGAGCGAAATCCAGATTGCTGGAGAGCTGATCCTCAGAGCGAAGAGCGGTCTTCATGTTGACTTCGTTCCGCGATGAACGGACGACCGAGGATTGGATGAATGTTCTCATGGAAACAGCGCTCTTCCTTGTTCTGTGCAGGAATGCCTTCGGCGCTAAATAAATGTCTCACTCGAATAATCACTCGTTCGTCTACAATGTGTGCCTTCCCCGGGCTCCAATGATGTAACTTCGAAACTCATCCGCACAATCTGTCTCCACGAAACAGGTAATCTTCGAAACATCGAGGAAAATGAGTCCGGTAGGCTGCAGAGAACACCCGCCCCGGATTCTGCGAAAGAAACGAATTGAAGGCAATTCGAGAGGGGGAGATCATGTTCGAGTTCGAATTTCGCTGAGAATCTCGCGTCGTTCGATAAAGGATAGGGAAGAACCTGCACTCGATATCCTTGGAAGTAGTTTCGCTCGAACAAGAATGAGACGAAACAATTCTGGATCGGGACAGGATCGATGGCGTCGGGCTGTCAGGCTCTTGACCGAGACAGCATAATCACAAAATTGTGAGGGACCTCGCAGGATATCGTGACGATTCGGAAAAATGTCCGTTTGTGAAACTGACTCGATCCGAGCCGTCGGAATCACGGATTTCGAGGCGCGGCGAATTTTGTGGAGCGGCGAATTTTGGGTCGTGGGCATCGGTTACTTTCGGTACCTCAGTGAGATCATTCATAGGCGAAACGAAGTCGTGAACTCTTCGCAGGAGCGCGGGGCCGTTCCAAAAACAAACAAGGAATCTAATCCCTCGAGAAATCCACCTCACAGACTGTCGTTTCTCACCATCCAAGATCGAACGGAATAGAAGTGACAGTTTCCGCCGATTCTCATCCCGTAGGCTTTTTGGATTTCGAAGGAGTATTCTTTAAGGCCCTGGTGCAAGCGTTGGGAAGCATCAGAATTCCTTCCGAGATGAATCATATTGGGGCGACAGTCCCAATGTAGCCTAGGGGCGGCGAATTTGTAAATCCGTCTTTAGGTATGGATCGCTGTCATCATCGACCCGGAGCCGACTCAGGGTCGAAAGGCGCGGCGACTCTGCGCCGCCGCCACATGTTCGAATTTGAATTTCGCGCCGCGATCGTGCAAGCGCCGAGTCCTCCTCCCCGGCGGTGGCCAGTGCGCCATTTTGTTTCGGCACCGCCGCGGCAGCGAGAAACATCGGCGGCCGAACGCAGTAGCGAATCTCTCGGCTGACGTTGGATTACGTTGTGGGAGGCTTTCGACTTCCTAACGTTTCATGTATTAATTGTGCTCGAGCGGAACATTCGTGACGGCTGACGAAAATCACAATCGGAGCTCAGCCATGACGCAGGATCACTCTGGACGGAAGAAACTCAGCGAGTTGCGGGTCGTGGATCTTCGGAACGAACTCGAAAAACGAAGTCTCAACACGACGGGTGTCAAGAGCGCCCTGCTTGACCGACTTCAGACAGCGCTCCGGGAAGAAGGACTCGATCCCGAAACTCATGAGTTTGAGGTAACTTGAAAGAGAAAACGTGGCCGCTGATGCGATTGCCGAGCGTGAGCAAAGGCCTCTCGATGATCAGTGGTGCATTGTTTGCGTCCGGACAGTGCGAGTTGCTCGGCGCGGTCACCGTTCTCGACGTCTACCGGTTCACATTGTGGCGATTTTCAAATATCTACCGGCGCTTCGAGGCTCCTCGAGCAGATGATTACGCTTGTGCACGATCGACTCCGGGACGCTTCTCGTGCAGGAACTGTCGGTCGGTCAGCGCTTCGATGATCCTCGGGCGAAAGTTTCCGTTGTTTGTTCGTGAATCACTCCGTCGAGACATGGCGTCTACCCGCACTGCGATGATGGTTATATCGGCTCCCGCCCGACGAGTCCAGATCCCGAGCCTCAGACGTGTCCTGATGACCTGACTAACTCTGTTCATTGACCTTTCTCGTCGTTTAGGTTAGTTCAACAATGGATGCCGCGACGCCGATCAAGTCCCGGAAAACCGGTTTGCGCGAAGAACCCGCAGAAGACGCCGAGGAACATCTGGATTCCTCGGATTCCCCGCCCCAGGAGAATATTCCTCTCGCCAAAGAGGATCCCGACGACGAGATCCAGCAGCCCGAAGAAGCCGGGCTCGAGGTTCATGCTGAAGAGAATAATGAATTCGATGATAACGAGGACAGCAAGGTCCCCGAAGGCGACGACAAAGACGAAGCGGAAGAGAAGCTCGAGAGCGAGCCGCGCAAGAAGAACTCCGCTGGAAGCCTCGATGGCCAGGGCGACAAGAAAGACGACGAAAAAGAGAACGACGTCGACGAAGCGAAACCCGTCGAGTCCGTGAACGTCTGGATATCTTGTCTGCCCCACAGCACAAAAGCCGCGGAATTGAAGAAGTTGTGCAGCAAATGCGGCAAAATCAGTTCGGCAAAAATCGTCACGAATGCCAAGTCACCGAAGAGCGGCTGCTACGGTTACGTAACGATGTCCACGCTAGAGGACGCCAAGAAATGCGTCGCAGATCTCAACGAGAGCGACTACAACGGTCATAAACTCGCTGTTGAAATGACGGATCTCGACCCTGCGGGAGCACTCCGGGCTTCGGCGTCCCGGAAGAAAGCTGCCGCCAAGAAGGAAAGTGAACAGCAGAAGGAGCACCAACAACAGCAACAGCAGTCGCCCAAGAAGAAAGTCATCTCGTTGAAGCGAGACCCGAAGGAGAAGAAAAAGAAGAGGGCGAAGAAGTCATCCAGGTCGATCTCGACCTCGAAGGCAAGGACGACGACAAGACAAAGACTCGTCGTGACAGAAGCCGTGACCGAGGCGATGTCCGCAAGAGGCTGGGTGCCCGCATTCCGACTTCGAGCTCGACGAAGGTCCGAGGTCGCAGCGGACGCATTGTGTCACGCCGCGGTGGTCGCGGTAGCTTCCGAGGAAGTCGGCCCGGCGGGGAGCGGATGCCGGCACCCCGCACCAGCGGCAGCTTCAGGGAACGTCACGATTCCCGAGAGCGAAAACGCGAACTCGAGAGGCGACAGCGGGACGAGATGTACCGTCTCGAACGGGAGCGGGAGAAGATCCGCCTGGAGCGCGAGAAGCTCGCGCAGGAGAAGCTCGAGCTGCTCAAGATCGAACGCGATCGTCAACGAGCCGAGCGTGCGCGTATCCAACACGAGAGAGAAGCTCTCATGAGACGCAAGTTGGATGTCACGCGACAGCCGAAACGATCGTATGAGGAGAGCCGATCCGGGGGTTCATCCGACTACTACAGCGGGAGTCGCAAGAAGGAATTCGACCGGAGGAGGGACGATTCGACTGTGGCGCCGAAACGCCCTCGCGACGACTACTCGCGAGGCTCGACGTCTTCGTACGCGAGTTCATCCCGCGATGTGTCTCGTTCGTCATACGGCTCGTCGGCAGGAACCCGAAACGGTTACAGTGGCAGTGATTATCACGGCAGTCACCATAACCACCACTCGTCCGGTCACCATTCGAGTAGCAGCGGCGGTGGTGGTGGTGGAGGAGGAGGAGGCGGCGGTAGCCACTCTCGAGGGGACTACTCTTCGAGCAATAGAGACAGTAGCGCCTCGTATAAATGGACAAATCCGAAATGGTCGTCGAGTGGTCACCAGAGCGATTATCAGTACCCATCATCGTCATCGAATTATGGCACCGTGTCCCGTGGCTATGGATCAACGTCATCGAGAAGATACTAGGCTACGCTTCGACCGACCATCGGATGGAATCATCAGCGCAAGCGAGCAAGAAAGTTGCAAGCAGTGAACAAACTGTTTATGTATAAAGAAAAATCATTGAATACGACGACGGGCTGGATAGAGATCCCAAGCTGTCGAGCTCCAAACGGAAGCAGATGTGCTCGGTACGCAGACGCGTGTGTCGATTGTGAGCGGTCGATGGGTGATAGCACCTCTGAGCAGCGAGAAAATGAGATGAACACCCACGAGAGCGCCGACGGTTGGAGCGAAATTCGGGAATAGTGTTTTTCCTGCAGCGATGCATGATGAATCTTCATGATGAAGGAAAAGTCAACCCCTACGTTATTCAATACGACGCATTGTGGAGAACAAGCTCAACGGCAGGAGAGATTGCCGAGACCGCGAAAGAAGATCGTGGTCTCCGTTCCCGGCGACGACGACGACGACGAACTTCTCATCATCTATACTACGTAATGCTTAATCGAAATAAAAAAAAACAACCAACGTACTCCGCTACGATCCATCGTCATCATTGCTCAGTGACGGGTGTAGTCGACGTACTTCGTCTGTACCGCGCGAACACTTCGGAGTCCGAAGTCGAGCTTTCCTGTAGTTCGAGCCCGGCACGACCAGCGACTTCCGTGGGATCACAGAACTCTCCGCTCGACATGGCAGTCAACGCTTCTGCAGTAAGTCAACCGTCAAGTTGCGCCAAATTTTCCCGATCGCTCAATTCACTCGGACGAGGGTAAGTATCGCGTTGGAACTCAGGACCCGCCGTCGAGACTGAGGTCGATCGTCGAGGGAATCGCCGGAGGATAAATAATGTACGGCGCGGGATCCGGTTGATGATGCCGATGACGTGTGAGGTGATGATGATGAGGCTCGAGGATATCTTGATGCAGTTTGTTGTAAGAGAATTAGACGTTTCTGACGAAACGACCGAACAACCCCCCGGGATCACCCCTACCCCAAAGTTAAGCTGAGCGAATTGTACGGACCGCCGATATCTGTCCCACGCACCACTGCTACTGTTTGCAGCTTATTCTTGCGTAGTTGTTCTATAAGTTCCACCCTGCCACCGTCGTATGCATATGACAGACACATCGATTCGTCGAGCACCCGAATTGAGATCGAACGTCTGAGCTTCGCATCATCGAGGAGCGCAATCTGCAAATCCCGGATTCCCATCGTTCGATTTTGTCTTCATTTTATTCTGGCTCGGCATCAAGAATGGAGAATGCTCTCGACGAAATCCCTTTCGACTCCTTCGAACTTCTTCATCAAGAACCTGGACGGCTTTATAGCGCTCAACGTCAACCTCAATCCATGATCAAATAATCGCTCGCGGCCCTGGCTAGAAGAGCTTGACGCACGCGATAAGCGAAAAAATTCCCGAGCGTAAGTAGGCGTCGGATGCGACGACCGCCAGTGAGGATCACTCGACACTCGGTAAGAGGGGTAGGGCGGGGGAGGGTACCCTAACTGCGCTCCTTTCTCTTCCTTACAGGCTTGCAGTTGGAAATGCGATTCTTCAGGATAACACGGATAGTTGCATTACCCATGATAATATATTGACGTACATACAGAATAAATGCGGGTCACTCGTTCGAATTCAGAGAATTAGTTCGTCTCAATTCCGATCCTTGTGTCTCCTGCTCTTCTACAGCTCAGAAAAATAAAATCTCCGATTCATGTTTTCCGTTGACTTCAACGATCAATTTATATTTGCTCGACGTCCACAATCGTCTGAGTCCGCCGCTTCGATGATCTGACACACGAGGACCTCTGGCAGGCGAGCTCTCGGAACAGTTGTCCGTGACTGATGACGGCTCCTGAACGAGGCCCTCATGCTTTCTAGTTCAATTCATCGAATCGGTAGTTCTGCATATTCTGCTGATCCGACCACGCGGAATAAGTCGCACCGTCCATCGCTCTCGCTACTCGATTATCCCCCCGGAGCGCATGGCTTCGGCCTCCGATAATTGCACCGCATTCATTGCATTTAGACTCTTCCATGGCGCCGCCGCACTCGGTGATGCAATATACGTGGCCCTTGGGGCACTGGTACCAATGTCCTCGTGTCAGTCCAACGGCCTTCAGAATCATTTTTCGTTCACCGTCGCTGATGCCGAGCTGAGCTCCGCCCAGTGTTTTCGATTTTTCGTCGAGGAAGTCTTTGACCGCTTTGGATTTGTCTTGACTGAAGCGCTCGACAGAATCCACGAAACGGAAACAATCCAACACATCCCGCTGCCCAGGATGAAGCCGGTCGGTCTTGAGCAGCATCGCCGTCGAGTCGAATCTGTGAGAGAGACGAATATGTGACTTGGTCCGGAATGTTGCAATCCCGGCAGTGCCTCGTCCGTAGAGAAGCCCGGGGACGGAGAACCCACCTCGAAATCTCGTTGATGATGTCTTCGAAGTGCTGTAGACCAACTCGTTCGTCCAGAGTTCGTCGTATAGCGAATAGGAGGTCAGTCCACAAGGCATAGCATTTCGGCGAAATTCGCTTCAAACCTCGCAAGTTTTTCTGAAGCTCAGCCACGCGCTCAATCACCTGGGAAGAATACCGTGCGTATCGGCTCCTCGGCGGTCAGGACCCTGGACGGTCGTGCGAGATAGGTGTCCGATTTCGGGTCTGGCTTGAGGGCTTCAGTGGATTTCGGTCGAATCGACCTCTACCGGAAAGCACTTACTGTGAGCACATTCGAAAATGTATCGATCGTCGTCTTATCAGGCCTCTTGAACGACGACAGCATGTCGATCATATCCTTCAGGAACGAGGATAATTCGGTGGTATTGACGACTTGGGTCATATGTCCCAGTCTCGCTAAAACCCTCTCGAGCTCTCGTTTGTTATCCGCCGGAGTTCCGAAAACCTGGTGTCGAATTCTCCAATAATTCAATTAGTACATCAAAAATTTTCATTCGTTGTCGCGCACCATCGAACCAATGAGGCGTTTGGCGCCCCCCTGGACTGACCTTGGCTTTGACGATCTCGATGAGATTCCGTTTTTCGTTGATGTGGTGCGAGAAGCGGTCAGTTCTCACTACAGGTGCTAAGCAAGCCGGACAAGATATCCCGCCCATGCTGATCTCTGTGCTTTTGATGCAGGTCTCAACCCATTTCTGCATTCCGGAAGATTCTATCACATGGCCGCAATCCAATTGTACGTAACGAGAATCCTCTTCCTCGGTTCCGAGCTCGACATCACAGACGTTTTCATCACAAACTCGACATCTGTCCGGGCATTTCGCGCTGCAGAATCCGATGCAGTCGTGATCGCACTTGAGCTTCTTGGTGCATGGCTGGGTGCACGGCTCGACAGAACACTTCTGGGAGCATAATTTGCTGCACTTCTGGTGGGGGCATCGCCTTGAGCAAGCTTCAGCGCAAGGCACGCACGGTTCCCCGCAAGTTCTTTCACAGTGCGAATGAATGCATGCGTTTTCGCATTTTCTCTTGCAAGGTGGACAGACTCGAGAGCACGGCTCCTTGCACACGTGCCCACAAATGAGTGTCCTCCCGCATCGACTTTGACACGGGACGTGGAATCGACCTTGGTAACAGGAGCCACAAGTTCCTTGGACGGGGGGAAGAGCGGTGGTCAGTTTTCGGATTGAGTGCTACCTATCTCGACGTGGATTCGAGCCCGTAGATTCCGCACGTCATGATCGAAACAAGTCTCCGCTCATGGGCATTCTTGCGACGTAAGGTTTCTCGCTTACCTTCACAAGTGTGCTCACACTTCAGAAGGCTACCACAGGGCTGCCTGCAGAGGCTCGCCACTCCACGAGCGTCGCTTCGAATATGACAGGCCACTTTGACGCGGTGTCCACAAATTGATACGACTTCTACTTCCGCCTTACATAACTTCTGACAGATCTGAGTACACTTCATATCACAAGGGTGACCACAGGGGAGCAGCTTCTCGCACTTCTTCTCACAGGTCGGTTTTTCCCGCTTGCCGCAGAGACGCTGGAAATGGGAGCATTGTGAGGGCTTGAAGGACTCGCGCAGCAACAGCAAAAGGAATCAGGAACGTGACGACAGGGGGAGTCATCGAGTTTCGAGTCCGATCCGCTCTCACCTCGACCGTATGACCGCAATCCAGCACGGAATGAATTTTCTCTCCGCATATATCGCAATCCTCGCCGCATTGTTTCTTGCACGGGTGGCCGCATTCCGGATACTTTTTGAGACACGGTCTGATACACTTGAATCTCGTTTGTTCGTTGGAGTATTCGTGACACAGCTTCGGACACATGTGGCCACAGTCCAGGCGATCCGCGCAGGGCATATAGCATCCGCCTTCGGCTACTTGCACGAAATCGCTCGGTTTGTACACTTTCGTTTCGGTCTTGTGCGCTTTGCACTGGAATCTGAAGTGGTCCCGAACCGAGTCAGCCACGGACTCGAGCATGTTCTTGAAGATCGGCTGGCGCTGCGCGATCATTTGGAAGTTGCCGACACAGAAGAGACCTAAGCGGGCTCGCGAAAACGCGACACAGAGCTGCGGACAGAGGATTTGCAAGCGGTCAGATGGACACGTGAGCGACATCGCGAAAAAATTGATCGAGGACCGAGAAGATGGTTCGTTGAAAGCTCTCAAGCCGCTATGCGTTCGTACGTACCCGGTTCATGGTGCGGAGGAAGCCAATCTGACCTTCTTCGTTGCTACGGACGAACGATAGGATTACTATATCGTTCTCTTCGCCTTGATAATTGTCCACAGAAGTCACCCGGAGCGAGAAGTTCAGCTGGCGCATCCTGTGCTTGATCAGGAACTGTTGTCCTGAATACATGGCGAGGACCGTGATCTGATCGGGGGTGTAGCCATGGACGAACAGGTAGCGAACCAGGCCGACGATCATGTCACACTCGAACACGTTGGTCTTCGAGCGATTTTCGCCGTCGTTCGACTCGAAGTGAGAGTGACTCATGAGCTGTAGGTCCGCTGACATACCCTTGACGCTCGGATAGGCATACACGCTCGGCCCACAATCCAATCTGGAAATGAGGAATGAAATAAGCAAATCTCAGCCTTGATCCAACCATGTGTGGACTGGGCAGAGTAGAGCGGGGTCAGTCCGTAGAAGAGATTCCCCGAGAAGTTGATTCACCTCTGGTAGATGTGCGGTACCAGAAGCCGAACGAACTCGGGACGCATACGATGCTGGAGCTCCAGACTGATGTAGGGGATCCCATTATTGACGAGCCGCTCGAAAAGGGAAACGTCCAGATGGTAGTCTCTGGCGAGTTTATAGTCTGACGTGGCTGGTTTCAGCTGTTTATGATCGCCTGCAGCGGAGAAGCGAGTATTGAGACCGGCGAAGTTTCCGTTGGAGATTGAAGCTCAAGCGATTCGAATGCCAAGACGTACCGATCAGGATCAGCTGTTTAGTCGAGGTACTGATCGTCGTCACAATGTGGGCTTCTAAGAGCTCTGCAGCTTCCTCGACGATGACCACCTCGATGTCAAGCTTTTCGTAGAGATGTTTGTATTTGGCGGCGCCGGTCGTCGTCATCCCGATAACTTGAGCTTGTTGTAAGATCAGAAAATCGGTTTCGGCTTCGAGTTCTCTCAACGCTCGAACAGCCTCACTGAAAAGCACGATCTGTCACGATCGGAGAAGAGATGAAATGGTTCGGAGAGCTCTTCGACCAGAGAGGAACCGGCGGGATCCCGGGGAGAGTCCGGAGAGCGCGGATACTTGCCTGTATTCATCCCGGTACCGATCGGTTTTTTTGTCGAGCTCCTTCATGTAGATGTCGTACCAGTGACGATAGAGATCCCAGCGCTCATCGATGCTTAGCGTGTACAAGCCTCGATCTAATCTACACTGCAGAATGACAGCTTCTTCTTTGGTGAGTCTCGGCCGGTCACTCACGGTCAGCTCGTGTTCGATGAAAAGATCCATCGCGGTGCTCTCTTGTTTCCCATGGAAACTGAGGAGTCGATCGACAACATCGATCTGTAACGAGGGAGGGAACAGAGTCATCAAGGGCTTTGAATCAATGAGCTCGGAGTTCTCAGACGTCGCACAGTCAAGGAGAGTCAACAGGCCCTGATCGATAGCAATCTGTCTTCGGAGGAGAAAATTTTCTCAAAGCGCCTAGGATCTCACCGTCACTTCATCGGTGTCCTTCTCGTCGATGAGTATGTCTTCCTCGTCGCTCTGAATTTCATCAGCCATCTCTGGGAGCTCGCTGCATCCCCTCGGCTCCTCAGGCGTCGCTGTCGATGCTTGAGCTTTCGACCCAGCGTTCTGTTTCTCCTTCTGAGCAAATTCCTTAGCTAAGGTCTCGATTTGAAGCCATTTATGAATGTCACGTTCCTTCAAAAAAACGCCGTAGCTGACGGATTCGAGGGCATCCTCTGGGATCAGCTTCCTAGAGGGCAAGCAGCAGTTTTGACGACCTCTCCGGCAGCAGTCATCGTTTCGCGTGCGAGGACATTTATGGTGAATGTATATTAGGCAAATACGGACCCGAACGCCTTCTCGGAAATTTCCTGATACGAGTTGATTTCTTTGCGCAACATGTTGATTTTGAAACGGGCATGTCTGGCTGCCCTCTCGGCGAGTTCTCTTTGGGCGACGGCAGAGTCGCGTCTCTTGAGTCTCATTTCGGATAGACTATATTGCACCATATCCTCATTTCTGCACATTCCCCCGACGCGGACGATCTTCGATGAAAATCTCAGGATGCCTGGATTCGATGGACCTCATTGACTCTCGGAAGAACATTTATTTAAGCTCGATATATCGACGATCGCCGATAAAATCCCGATCGGGAATCGATAGATACCTTCGAGGAACTGATCCAGTGCGTGATTCGTGTTGCAAACAACTAGGATAGGTTTCGTCGTGATGCGATTCAGGAGGAAAGTTTCGACGACCAACAGGCCGACAAAAGTTTTCCCTGTTCCCGGAGGGCCCTGTATGAGGCACAACTCGCGAGCGAAGGCGCTCTGCACTGCCGCGTACTGAGCATCGTCAAGTTTCGTGAGCTTGCGACTAGGCCAATTCAGACTATTCAATACCTGAGGATTTCCATTCACGCTTCATCAGTATTCTCGGTTCTCGTGTGACGAAGGTGATAGTCGATAACTGATGAGTTCTGCATCGGCAGGTCGCTGTACGCATATACGGCGCTACCGAGGAGAGTGATTCACTGACCTCGGTACAGGTATTGCGTTCATCCAACATTATCGGGCTCAAGTTGACAGAAGATCCTCTATTGATGAACTGAGGCGGCACGACTGTTTTTTCGAGTTTCACGATGTACTTCTCCATCGGCACTAATAGAGGATCGATATCTTGCAGAACTTTCAAGTTGTAGCGATATGCTTCGAACAGAGCGGTGCTCTCGATGACGCTGTAGCTCATCCCAGCTTCTAAGTAGTCTTCATCTTCTGATCTGCAACATGCGACGGAGAGACCACCTGTGCGCGGAGAACATGATCTTTCAATCTGTCCCGAGGTGCTACTTGAGTACTTTATCGCGAAGTTCCAGTCCCACCCCATCGAAATACCTCTTTGGAGAGTCCTAACGTCTCTCTGCAGGACGAAGGCGAATATCATCGAAGCAAAGTCATCATTAGACAATGCGATGACAGATCCGCTGGCGAATCGTTTCGAGCGTTCCCATTTCACCGATTTGTAATCCCGCGGGGCGAGTTGAAGGGCGTAGAGAAAAACGGAGTCCGTCAGCGCAGCCAGTCGACCCTTGCAAGACACATTGAAGTAGTACCTCACGGAGTTTCCTTTAAGCTCTTTCTTCCTGCGGCTGGCCTCCATGCCGAGATAGTTCTGGAGTCCCTCCCGTAAAGGCGCAACGAAATCCTCACGAAGCAGGCGGAACTGGGTTTCGACGTAATCATGACCATTCTCGTAAGGTCCTGCGGCATAAGAAAACTCCAGAAGACCTTCTCAGTCCGCTATCCAGAGCGTCGGAGGTACGACGTGAATTGATATTCGTTTACCGAACTGACCGACTATGATGTTCTTGCGAATGTAAGGTCTCAAGTCTTCCATGTCGTCAATCGTCGGGAAGACTGCAATTTCCTTGTAGTTGTCCGGCGGAGCTCCCCGATCCGAGTTCCTCTCTCCGACGCCTGAGAATCGGAAGCGGATTCGGCATTGCCTAAGACGAAGTGAGCGAGAAGGATTGGAGCCGAAAACGGGAAAATTGAACGAAGAACTCACGTATCACGGCTTTCGATTTCTTCTGAGTCTCAACCTCAAGGTCCCGAGCCTCGTCGACCTGCGGAATCGATGCAGGAGTGTTGTGAATGAATGAGCCCGGACCGATCGAGATTGCGCAAGGAGCTGGTCCCGGATGCTTGCGTCTGATTCCCGATAGGAATTCCCAAAACTGAATCTCAAATAACCTGTCTCTCCAAACTCTCCAACATTTCCAAGAGGTTGCAGTTTCCATGCTGAAGTTTTCTCTGCAGTACTCCCGCATGACGACTGATGATACTCAGAAGGACTTTCACAACCTGGAATACTCCTCCTGGCATCATCGTGCAGGCTGTCTGTGGAGCAGAATCGAAGGTGTTCACACACACTAAGTCGCTCTGGTCGGGGAATTCTGCCTAACTGCACCGTTTTCAAGGTCCAGACTGACCTGATACAGCAGGACAATGTCGCGCACAACCAGAGCGAGCTTCGCGCTCAAGTCGTCAAATAGAAAGACCAGTGTTCCCGTCAGGTAATTGTGGAACTTTTCGAAATATTTTCGCATGAACGCGAGTGTGACATTCCGATTGGGGCTCTCGAGGCATTTCGCGAAAACCTTGACAGCTACCACGATTTCGTCCACTGAAGAGGAAAGACATTCGAAGCTTCATGTGCCACGCTCCTGATAACACAAAGTGAATACGCAGACAGAGAGATTGATTTCCAAACCGTTCGAGATGGAGCTACTGCTTACATTCAGCGTAGGTTTTCTGTTCCAGCAGACAGCCCCAACCTGGATTCAGCTCGAGCTCCATGATCAGATCTTTAGGCTCGCATTTATACAGATCGTTGAGTTTGTGCTTCGTGATCGGGAACAACTCTGGGGAAATGAGATCTCGTCTTCACTCAAACACTGTGTAGACCGAACGAATAACAGCAACCCGATCTACAAAAACTACCTCGGCGTTGAGAGGCGCCAGGCGGCCGCCCTGCCGGCCCCGGATTTTCGGGTTTCCTGGGTCGATGTTCTCCGGCACCGCGCACCCTCCAACTCGATCCCTGTTCCTGAGGCTCATGCAGGCCTCGGCTCGTACTGTCGTGGATTCGAAAGTCTCTACCGCGACCTCTCCCTCTCATCCAGGACTGATTATTATCTTTGGACCATCTTGTTCGGCTATTTCTCGCATGATTTTCATTGGACGACAGCGCAGCGAGCTCTCTAAGCTCCCCGCGAGTCGTCTGTCGCGAGTCATCCATGACGTCACCCGAGGGAGGAGCTCACATGTGTCCTCGACCAAAATCTGAAAAAAAATGAGATTTCCGGAGAAATTCATCTCGCCCATGCCCGTTGACTGATTCCCATTGGTCGAGCTCCATCGAATCCGTTCCAGAAGAGTTACTCCTGCCGGAATATGATATCGGGAAGTTACCAAATTCAGCCTCGAAGAGGGATGGAGAAACCGGCGTCTGATTCCGGACGTATGCGCGATATGACCGACTTACGGCCGGAGATATGGACTCTCGGGACGTCCCAGACTTCTATACAGCCTTGGAAAGCAACGAGATCACCCCACACAACACAAGAAGGAGTTCATTCGAATTCAAATTTCCACGAAGCTCTGACCGTTGATCGGCTCCTTCCAAATTTCGCGATTCCACATGACCTCACGGAACGGCTAGCCCGACTCCGGATAGTCTTTGTGCTCGCATATCAGAATGCAAAGGCTAGACATCGCATGTCGATTCTTGGTCCACTCAACCTGATTGTCAACTAGTCGAGCTTCTGAATTCCCGTTCCCAGAGGAAGGGACGTTCGAGAATGAGGAGCATCCGGTGGAGGTCCTGGCAATATTCCGGTGCAACGATAGCACAGCGGGAGGCGAGAGAACCGACGCCAACGATCGGTCAGACGATCCTGATAAACTCCAAATCTTCCCACTGCAACCTGCTCGCAGTGGAGATTTGGAACTAATATCGTGGGAGTACTTCTCGCGGAGGGCAGTCGATCTCTCCGTGTTATAGCCGGAATACATGATTCCTCATCAGTGCGAGGAAGTGATTTCTACGCTCGGCACGCTCTCCTCCGACATTAAATCTCGAGAATGGCAGAAGAAAGCATCCTCATGAGTCACTGGCTCTCGGAATATTCGACACTCACGAATTAGCGGGCCCTTCGATTGTAAGTCGATCGATACAGCAGAAAGCCTCTCTCTTCTTGATGAGTCCTCACTTAAGCGTAGAATGAGTACCTACAATCAGGAGTTTCAAGATGTCGAATGGAGAAGAAGTGACTAGTTCGGCAAGTAGCCACCGGCTCGAAAAGAGAAAGAGGTACTTGTGCGCCGCTCAATGTTGTTGCTCCGACGTCAAGTAGATCCAATCACCCCTACTATTCCTGGAGAATCTTGCGGTTTTGGCGACACGGTACTCCCGCAGTCTGTGTTTTGCCTGCAGACCCGACTACAGTCCCAGGGGTCCGGGCGATATTCGGATCTGCGGGAGAGTTTCCAGCCGATGTTTATCGAATGAAATCAATGCGCCGTTCAGAGTGCGCGGAGCATGAGTCATGGAGGTTCCGGAAGAATCTCGATGCTCCGGTCAAGTCCTCGCGCACTATGAATTTCCCGGGGGCCTCGTGCTTCCCCATGCCAATGAGCTTCGAGGATAGTCTGCCAGAAAAAGTCTCAGATTGGCGACGGGAAGCCTTACTTGTGCGCGGCTCCTCGCTCGGTCTCGAACGGCAAAACTAACCGGACTCAGCTTTTCCCAGGGAAAGCGGAGTCGCGGAGCTGGGCGACAGAAGCGTCAACAGTGGCCAATACCGTAACACGTCTCAGTACTCAGGGTGCTCGATGTACGCCCATGAGCTTTTCCCGACGCAGAATGAGAGGGAGGAGCCGCTGAGGCAAACACCACACATCGCGACATCTTGTCTTCGCGAACGTCAAGCCAGGAGCGCTCCAAGGTGGCGTAGCGTGTATCCATGACGATCTGTGAGGAGGCATCAGGTCACCACCGGATTCCTCGAGATTACTCAGTTCCCTGAATACTCGTTATTGGAGACTTTCGAGGACTCTTTTTAGTCTCCAAGGGCTATTTCGCGACTGGGAAAATTCACTCTGCCGCGAGGTCTGACCGCTCAATCCCCTCGCATCTTTTCACGAGATCCATCTTCTTAAAATTTGGGTTTGATCTCATTAGTTCCCGTGGCACGAATAATTGCTGTGAATGCTCTGTTTGCCATGCGTGGGACTTTCTCCCCAACTTTTTTCTAGCTCTCTTTGATCTCTCTCGGATCATTTGATCTTCCTGGGAAGCTGCCGTTGATGGCTGGAACTTCCCATGTAGCTCTATCGAGACATTTTTGAAAGGTGGAATTTAATTCCATAATTTTTAAACTATCGCAGGAATTCCATTGAGAATCTCCCGGGAGGGGATCGTTGGACTCAATTCAACTCGATCCGACCGTAATCTTCCATGACCGACGCCGCACGGATACAGTGGTGCTCCGTGATGCATTTAAAATCGAGATTTATATCGAACAAATGTGACCTCGGAGAGTTTTCCTCTCGATCGATCTCCAAGCGGGACCCCGATTTCGCCGCTGCCATGCCTGCTTCGGCGGATTAAGGTATCTGGATCCGGAATTCATGAAATACGAAGCATGAGAACTGTTCATGCACCGCGTGCGATCCCGCATACAAGACCGCTCGCGACGGATAGGTGAATCCGTGGCCGATCCAGTGCTTACCTACTTACGTATAACCAACGTACCGCTTGTCGGAGCTATGGGAGTATTAGATTCAATCGATGAAGATCCACACCGACTGCCCCCCCGAGCTCCCATTCACTCCCGGTAAAAGAGCTCCACCGACTGTGGTGCTAACAGGGGGGCAGGACTGTGAGCGTGACGGAATATCCGCGTGATCGATTCGACAAATTTGTTCAGCGGTCTGACGTGGAGTTGTTGAAGAATAACAGATTTTTCGAGTCATTATCGAGCCGAGAGTGTGTGACGCATTGAGGAGCGGTTTCCCTCATTTCGGTCGTGGGCCTGATCTCCCGCACAGATCCCATCTATCGGTGCTCAGGGTCGGCTACGCTGCTGCGCGGGTCCCATAAGTTTGCTTGATGGTCGAGGATGAGTGAGTATTTACTCTCGAGCCCGCTCGCACTTGTTCATACTTTACTCGTCGCCGTCAGCCCCGAACGGGAGGATCCGCTTGGTTGGTCGACGAGGGCCGAAGCCGTGGCGATACTCGTGGCCCGAGTAAAAACTTTGACAATGGCTTCTCCTCTTTGATTCGCTCTGAAAAGCAATCCCGCCGGCAGAAGCTCCGATTGAATATCAGCCACAGCAGAAGCTCGCTGTAACGATGCTGCCACTCTTTGAATGTATCTATACTCTAGTTCAATAGAGGAGTTGCATCCGATACTCAAAGTGCATCAGCAGCATTGTTCAAGCTAAAAACCGACGCGCACGCCATCGCGTCGACTTACGTAAGCGTTGAAAACCCTCTCAGATTGAGCCTATGATACAGTGGGTCTCCCTCCAAACTCAGATAGTCTCATGGATTGTGCCCGACCCCGGTTTGGAACTCCGAGCTTCTCGCAGAATCTCGCCCGCTCCAAGTACCTGTTCAGCTGAGCACCTGTCGTTCGCTTGAAATGCATTTTGTAGCTTTCGGCGCTCCTGAAAATCAGTCTTCGATGCTTCGCTCGAGAAGAATTTCCCGCAAAGTGTCCGAGAATGCGCGAAGATCACTGATTATAGGCAAGACGCTTTCCCCAGAATTATTCCACGATCCATATCTTCTTAGACTCCGTGCTCAAGCTCGGAATATCGCATGGGCTCTGTTTCGTAGTTGGCGGGCTGAAACCTACTCCGAGTGAAACGTATTTCAGTCGAGGAGCGTGAGTTTCTCGGGTGGATGCACTCGATAGGATATGCTCGTGCTGCTCATTGATCCTCGTCGAGTTTTGCTTAGCACGGACTATCGGTCTCCCGGTCTCATCTCCTGACTTGCGAGTCGCATCAATTAATGTTCTTACGAGTAATGGAATCCCGTTTTAACGTCCCTAATAAAAATCATGACGAAATCGCGAGCGCGTAGTATAGCATCGAAGCAAACAAAACAAGCTAATATCCCTGATTCCCAACAGCAGCCCTGGGGTCGCAGAGCTACAGCCACGAGACGGGGGAGCGCCACTGCGAATGACTTCCTCAGTACGATCTCGAACTCGGGCTAGCGCCTGAGGTCGGCGGGATCGGCTGTCAACGGAGCCAGCAATGTTCTGTCATCGGATACCTGTGGGATGACAGCGAGGAGGGATTCTGCGAACTTGAAGCTCGTCGTGCCTTCGAACAATATGAAAACTTGGAAAACGGGACGATCAGATAGACTTTTACGGGAGACCAAAGTGCAATCACAGGGGGGGGGGATAACCCGGGAACGGAGTCTGGTCAGATGAGAGCCGTAACATTAATAAGATAGAGTCTAGATCGGAATAAGGGTCTCCCGTACTTCCTGAATAATTCGCCAGCTCCGCGGATGTTCGATTTCAATTAAAAACCTAATCCAACTGCAAACGAACGGCTCATATGTTCAGAAGGATCAAGGGTTTATCGGACCGGCCGGGGACGAATCACGAAAAAAAAACGGTTGGTATCGGAGCGAGAGACCCAGGAGGCAAGGTGAGGAGCCGTTGAGGATCCGGACGGGACGAATTGGAATAGGGAAGATTCGGAAGAACATCGTCTATTCCTTTCAGTAGCCTTGATGCAAACCCGGCTTTCCAACCTACGTGTCAGACGGCTTTCCTCGTCACGAGCTTTGCGTTCCCTGGTTCGAATTTCCGAGAAATATCCGCCTCTCCTCTGACCCTGATGTGACGCCCGAGATTCTCCACGGTGAAAGATAACTTGGCATGCCTCGAAGGTGGTCCATTTCTGGTATGGAACATCCGGTCGTATGTGAGAACGGCGTGCGTTCTTGCGATGAGTAGACGCAGCTCTCGGGCGCGGAGCTCATCCTATAAGTTCAGGATTTCGGATCGAGTGGAGCAGGCGGGCGCCTCCCAGATCCTGGACTGGCGATCCTTCGTCTCGAGAACTTCTTCTCGAAGTCCCGCCTAAGGTCTCCGGAGAAGAAACTGTATCCCCCAGACAAGCATGGGGGAAACGCTCTCGAAAGAAGGGAGGTCGAAATCTTATTTCGATCATACAGCTGGGTCAAGTGACATTCGGCGGCTGGAGAAGCGTGTCTTGTCCCGATCCTGCTCAACAATGTGATTCAGCTCT